TATAAGTATTGTTTTGTTTTGAAAGATATTTAACCAATAAAGTTATCCCCGGAAGACGTGTTACGATCGTTGGAATTTATGACATTTTCCAAAATAGTTCATCCAAGGTAATTTTCGCCAAGTTTCACCAAATTTAGTTCTTAAATCATGTTGATCTATTAGTCTTCTATTACAGAAACAAAGCCATGGTGTTGGCACCCGTATACCTTATATACGAGCCATTGGCCTTGAACTTGATACTGACCAGGTTGGACAAGAATTGGGTAATTTTACTCATGCAGAGGAAGAAGAGATAATTGCAATGTCACGAAGACCCGACTTTTACAATTTTTTCACCAATAGCATTGCACCTTCCATTTTCGGAAATAGAGGTTTTTTTTTAATATTTATTTTTTTATTAGAAATGAAAGCACAAGTCATAAATAATTCTGGTAATAATTCTTTATAGATATAAAACATGCTATTTCATGTTTACTTTTTGGCGGCAGCAAAAAAATTCTGGCGGATGGGATGAAACTTAGAGGCGATATCAACGTTCTATTACTAGGTGATCCTGGTACTGCTAAAAGTCAATTTTTAAAATTTGTACATCAGGTTTGTAATATGGTGCAAACGAAGATAGTTTATGCTTAATTAACAATACTTAAGCTATTTTTTATTTAGGTTGCACCAGTAGCTGTTTATACGTCAGGAAAAGGCAGCAGTGCTGCAGGTCTTACAGCTGCCGTAGTTCGTGACGCTACTACAGTAAGATTTTCTTCTTTGTCAAAGTTTATAGACATAATGAATTTTGATCTTTGATTCATCTAACATTAGCGAGAATTTCGTCTCGAAGGAGGAGCGATGGTATTAGCAGATGGGGGTGTAATATGTATAGATGAATTCGATAAAATGAGAGACGAAGATCGAGTAGCTATTCATGAAGCAATGGAGCAACAAACCATTTCGATTGCCAAAGCTGGTATAACTACCATTCTTAATTCACGTACATCGGTCCTGGCTGCTGCAAATCCTATTTTTGGTCGTTATGATGACATGAAAACACCTGGAGAGGTAAGCAAATTTATAGGTAATAAAGCATCCTACTAGCATAACTAAAATAAATGTCATTTTAGAACATTGATTTTCAAACAACAATACTATCAAGATTTGATATGATTTTTATCGTAAAGGATGAGCACAATGACGCAAGGGATCGGGTAATAATTTTTATAATACCTTGAATGTGAATAAGTGGAAACGAAGTTTCCGCTAATTCCCAACGGATCAGGATATTATTATTACTAACTCATCTGCTATAAATTTCGTGTGCCTTATGCATTTTCATTAAACTTATAGGAAATAGCCAGACATGTTCTGGGTGTACATATGCACCGAGCTCCTCCGGAATCAGCGGTTGGCGAAATAGACATAACCAAAATGAAGAAATATATTGCATATGCGAGGCTGTGAGTAATGAATGTTATTTATCGAGTCCAATTTTATGATTACATTCTCTACTAACCCCTGCACTTTTCTTGTTTGCAGAAAGTGTGCACCACGCTTGTCCTCAGAAGCTGCAGAAAAATTGAGCAGTCATTTTGTTGACATACGCTCCGAGGTGAAGCATATGGAGCAACAAAGCAACGTTCGTTCTTCTATTCCTATCACTGTTAGGTATTATATTGATTAATAAGCATTTTCAAATTTAAGATTACAACAATAAATAACGACCATCTTCTAATAGACAATTGGAAGCAATAGTCCGTATTTCTGAATCCTTAGCTAAGATGACTTTGTCGCCACGTGTAACGGAACAACACGTTGATGAGGCGATACGTTTATTTAAACATTCAACCATGGATGCTTTACAATCAGGAGAAGGTAATAATAGGCTTTTAGTTATTATTTGTGTAACTCGTAAAGTCACTATTTCAAGATGTTAACATTATTTTTAGTTGAAGGTATGTCCCAAGTAGAAGTGGCGCGTCAATTGAAAATTGTTGAAAAAGAAATCAAGAGTCGCATTCCTATGGGTTCAAGAACCTCCACACAACGAATAATCAAAGAACTTGAAAAGGTATGTAAACCTAATATCATGGTACATTTTTTTTATCAAAAATAATAATCAACTTGATTCTTTTTTTTTTAGAATTTTTCCACTATTGTTGTCGGACGTGCTATTGACATTTTAGTTAGAAGAGAGGTTCTTCAATATAGGTATCAGCGAAAAGTTATTTTTAGATCTGGTGTATAAATACCGCGGATAAAAAAAAATGCACCTTAAAAAATTTTAATAAATTAGATCAAATGTTAGTATCATCTGATTCAGCATCATTCGTGCCACTAACCATTTTTGCATAATGTGTATGAATGATTGTTTTTTCGAAGTACTTTAACTACATAAATAAGTTACCCAAGCAATTGATTTACATCAACCAATCATTCTTATGACTTTATCAGTTATCGTTATGATGTGAAAATTAAGTTCACATGCATCTTCCCCAGTATCGCCACCAAAAAAATCACGCTCACGTGACAACGATAAAAATCCTAATTCGTTAATATTAGGGTTAGTGTTATATTTTTATTAGATAATAGTAAGAATATAATAGTAAAATTGCTCAAGGAAATTTTTTTGTTAGTGCACTAAAGGCGGTTTCCTATGTAAATTTTCGAGTTATGGGCGATTTTTATTAAAACGAACGGTTGTTTTGATTTTTCCAGATCGTGCAACGTTACACTTGATCTTGAAATGTTACACCTGATATTGTAATATCATTGGTTTGCAACAGAAAATATCACGTGAGCGTGATTTTTTTGGTGGCGATACTGGGGTAGTTTTCACATGCTTAAATATCACATGACTTTATAAGTAATATTTCCAACTACGTTATTTGTCACATTTACTAATTAACAGTAAGATGACGTGAGCAATATTAAAACGGCTATAAATAGGAGGAATACACCCATAAAGTCAATTCAATTGTGATTTTGATTTCAAAATGGGTAATGACGGAGGCTCAATCCCCAAACGTATTGAACTTGTTAAAGAAAAGCAAAAGGAAGTTCGTCCAGATCAAAATGCTCTGAAGGTTGCTATGTGGTTTTTTTGCGCTTTATCGAAGGTTTGTATATACATGTTTATTAATGTTTCTTCGCCTAGATGCGTACGATTAAATTCTCCCTTTCTTTTAGCGGCCCTTACAAATTCCCGTTGTCGCTTGTACGCTTGGAAAGTTATATAATAAAGACGCAGTATTAGAATATCTGTTAAACAAAAGTGCGTATGGTGACGGTGATGTGATTTGCTCACACATCACAAGCATAAAGGTATACAATACAGTTCCTCTAATATATTTAAATTAAAATTCATTATACTCGAGCTAACTTTTTTTTCAATAGGACGTAAAAACGCTTAATATTGCACCTAACCCAGCCTTTAAAGAATCTTCAGCAAGCGTCGCTCATTTCGAACAAGGAATGGTATCTAGATTTATTTGTCCTATTTCTATGAAAGAAATGAACGGCAAACTGAAGTTTGTATATTTGGACACATGTGGCTGTGTATTTTCAGAGCAAATCTTAAAGGAAATACCAAGTGAAGCATGTATTCAGGTAACATTGTGTTATATATATATATATATATTGTAATTACAAAGCTGATTTTAATCTTTGTGCTTGTTTATATAGTGTGGTAAGGCTTTTAAGCAAGATAATGTGATTACAATAAATCCAGATCCTGCCGAGCAAGAAAAGCTGAAGGCAAGTTTAGCAGAAAAAAGAGCAAAGGCCAAAGATAAAAAAGAAAAAAAGAAGAATAGAGCAGAGCAAGAAAAAGATACTTTAAACAATTCTAGTGAAAAAATCGGAACACCTTCTGCTAGCAGTAATAAACGAAAGAATGATGACAGCAGTTCTCAGCCATCTAAAAAACTTGCTACTGATTCCCAAGTAAGTGGAGGTAGTTCTTTGACGCCTTCGAAATCCAAACAGTCCAAAGCGATTCAATCAATTTATTCCAAAAAAGGGGATTGTAAAGTTAGTGAAAGTTATTTAGTTAGAGGGACATTTAACAGATACGCTGCATAAAACCATCCGAAATTTACATTCGAATAAATATTCATTGTTTAATATCTTAGCAATCATATTTGTATTTTCATTATATGGGATCGGTCAATTGAAACATGGGAGTTGCATATCTAATGATTTCTATCATCAACACTGTGTTCAAAATTTTTTTAATAGTAACCTTTAAAACGTTCTAACTTCTTTTCTAACTAAGTAAATCGAGTCCTACAACCTTAGGATTATGCATATAATTGATGCGGCTTTAAAGCTATGTTATATTTTTAATTTAAGAATTAAACATATTAATTTTGGATGTAAAATTCAAATATCTGGCAACATAGTCTTAAAGTTGCGTAAAAAAAGTTAAAACGTTTTATATAAGAATTTATAAATCAATATTATCGTTATCACATCTTCAAATAGTTCCATGATTTGCAACCCATTTAATGTTTTAAAACTGCTGAAAAATTTTTTATTACATTAAATAAATATGCATTTTAACTTATAAATTTATCTAGTAAACTACGTTTAAACTATAGATAACATTAATTCGTCGTGCAAGAATTAAATTTGCTCGTGCGCGTTAATTCAAATATGTCAAATATGTATAAAGCCCTGTAGTAAAATGTGGATTTTTAAAATTTTTGCATTGGGGGAATTCAAGACTAATGATTTTGTATCTAATTTCAGAAGAAACAAGATGCGTATTTCTTAAATATATATAGTTTAAATAAGTTTCTGATTTCAAATTTCCAACATGTAAATTTTTTAACTAATGCTTACGATCTGAGCTATTGGAGGAGGGCTCCCCTAAGTACACTTTTTTTAACCTGAGCATTTTTCATTTTTTTACAGTACCAACTAGAGATGCTAGGAAAATTAATTCGCAAATTTCTCAGATTCAACACAAATTTCATCACTCAAGATTAATTTCACCAGCATCTTTAGTCTCAAGGATTCGGTATAGAGTCAACAGGATTGTCTTCCTCCCTGCAAAAAAATATATATCTGATATACCATCGTATTAGTTTGAAGATAGTAACTAACAGACTTTTAGATTAATCATTAGCATTAGGAAAAAGGTATAATTGTAATGTAGAATATTACATTTGATCCACGAAATTTACAGTTAACATTTATTGTAAATTCTATTTACATTGTAAAAAACTAAATAGTATAATAATTGAATTCTCTGAACATAATTTTATGATTCTACTCGTTAACTACAGTAGATGAGCTGTAACATTTTCCATCACGAATAAATCAAAGAAAGCAATCACTCATAACAGAGCTGTTAATATACTCTATTAACAACGTTAATTCGTAAACTGTGAACTTTGAATTATTTTTCGCTCTTATTAATTTCTTTGTTAATAATCAAAAATCGTGATATGATGAATGTTTAATTGTAGACATCTCAAATACGTGCTAATAAATTATATCAAAAATTATATCTGTAAAATCTATATGTTACCGTTGATACGCCTGGCTAATCTTCTGTATCCATCTGCAGTGAGTTTTTGCCTTCGATAATACAGAATAGCACAAGATATACATGCAACGAATACATTAACGAACTATAAATGTAAAGAATAAATTATTTGCCCAGGATGTATATTCAACATCATAAATTACATATAAAAGTATTCAAACCTGAAATTCAATGTATTTTGCTCTGTCAAGTTTTATAACCCGTCGACATGATCGATATTGTACACTATCATTTTTTGATGTATCATTCCATTTGCATATAACCTTCACTTTGTTTCCATATTCTTTACAATAATAATAATCTGCCACCTAGTAATAACATACCAAAAAAAAAGGGATGTGTGAATATTACTAAATTGTTAATCAGAACATCAGTAAATAAACATACCAATTCTAATTCTAATTTATTACAAGGTTCGCACTCTTCAATTTTACAGGTGCATTCTCCAGTCAATTCACAATTATCTTCAGAAACAGAATGATTTTGCTCCTGTATTAGTGATTCTGTTAACTTAGATTGCGGTGGTACTTGTTTGTCGTCACGAGCATTAATGTTATTCCCTGACGTTATGTCCACCATCAAGATCTGAAGTATAAGACTTTAGAAACCAAAAACGTTGGGGGGTTTTTTTTTAAGTTGAATCGGAAATCAGAACAGACAAATATACGTAAAGAACTACTTACCACAATAACATTATTATAAATAATAACTTTTTCATGATAGAAACACTTAATAGCCAGGTTGAATTGTTCTTGGTTACAGTTTTCGTTTCGGCTTCCATTCTTTATATACACTAGAATAATCATGATATACCTTAACAGTTTAAGGTGATTGGTTACAAATTTGTTGTAACAGTGTTGATTGGATATCCCCCTTATATTATCGTTAACGTTTGATCCCAGAAAATAACAATGTCAAGAAACTCAACTTCGGAATACGTAAAGCTTATTAGTTCAGATGGTTTCGAGTTTATCATCCAAAGAAATGCAGCCCTCATTTCTGGAACGATAAAAAATATGTTATCAAGTCCTGGTAAGAGTTTTTTTTTTATCAAAAGTGAACTTATAAGCAAGACTTTGTCATATTAACTACTGATCTATTTAATAAAAGGTCAATTTATGGAATCAGAACAAAATACGATTCATTTTCGGGATATTAAGTATGAATTTCAACTCACTAATTATCTACGCAATGTTACAATCTTGACTTTTCAAATAACTTTAGTCCATTTTTAGAGCTGTGATATTAGAGAAAGTTTGCCAATATTTGTACTATAAAGTTCGTTACAACAATTCCACAAGTGAAATGCCACAATTCAATATTGATCCTACTATTGCATTGGAACTGCTTATGGCTGCAGATTTTCTCGATTGCTAAGACCATCTATTTCTTTTTTTTTATTCTTCTTAACCCGCAGATATACTCTCGGGATACCATAAGGCGTTTTATTAATTTACATAAATACTAAAGTGAAAGAATTACATTAAATTACGTTTTAAATTATGCTACCAAACTGGTTTCGTGCAATGCCTTCCCCTTCATATTCACCTAAGAGCTATCTAAAATTTAAGATATTTTTAAATTTCGTTGACAAATTTAGGTCCATATTCGTAAATACTTGAATTTCTAACCTACAAAATATGTTCATTGTTTATTTTAACGCAATTGCGTAAAACTTCAAGTATTTTTCATAAGAAAAATGGTGAAACGTTTCA